ATACTTCGGTATGAAAGTTTTATTAATTTTTGAGTTTCTCTCACCCTTTAATATTGAAAAGTGTTAAGACTAGAAATACATCAAGAGGTAGCCAGGATAATGAAAAGTGGAACGTGTTTATTTGTGCCTGTATCCTGATCCAGGTTGGGAAAGGCATTGGTGTGTGTGCGTGTGTGTGTGTGTGTCTTTGGCGGGGGGGGGGGGGGGGTTACTTCTATTATTTTCGTCTATTGTTTCTTTATATCTCAATTGGCCAATGCGCTTTGAATAAAAAATAGTCTTATCGGTTACGACAAATTTTGAGTGTAAAAGTTCTTGCTGGCAAAAAAAACAAAAAAACTGGCACCGGTGTCGTTTGGGTTTCGTTTTCATTTCAGTGAGGGGGTTTCTATTTCTGGTCCAGTTTTGTCAATGAGAGGCACTGCATTGCGATGGGAGAGTGCGTCTTCTGAGAGTACTTTACCAAACGAGTTGGTGATAGTGAGATAACGAGAAATAAATGGACCCAATGATAGGCTTAGGTGCTTCCTTATAGAAAGAAAAAGGAAAACGGAAAGGGAAGCTTGTGTGGAAGCTTTGAATTACTTGTCGTGCGTTATCTCTTATCACACACACTCACATACACATTCACATACACACATATAATAATATATTACTTATATAATATGTGTGTATGTATAATATATATATATATATCTATCTATCTATCTATCTATCTATCTATCTATCTATCTATCTATCTATCTATCTATCTATCTATCTATCTATCTATCTATCTATATATATATATTGATGTGGGTGATTATAAATAATAGTAATAAATAAAAAATGATAATTAATCATAACAATAACAATAAAAATAATAATAATAAAAATACTACTAATAATAATAAAAATACTACTACTAATGATAATAATAACAATAATAATAACACTAAAAATAAAAGATAGGATAAGATAAGAAAAGATAAGATAATATACATCTTTATTGTTCAGATCCTGGCACATTGGTTTGGTGTTTCATACGCACACACATGCACACACACACATACACACACACACACACACACACACACACACACACACACACACACAAACAAACAAACATGCACACACAAGTAGGCTTACAATCACACGCAAAATGTAAATGAGCAGCAAATTAAACAATAATAATCTTAAGCCAGGTACATACTCAATGATATTCTAATACATGCTCTAAGGTCATATGAATGCTAATACAATGCGGTTAAATTGGAAGAATTTTGATGGATGATGGAAAAAATGACCTTCTGTATCTTTCTTTGTTTCAGATCAGAAGCCTAGGTCTTTTACATCTGACCGATGTTTTAAAAAAAACTTAAGCTTCTGACCTGTAACAAAGAATGATGATAGTAATGATAATAATAATAATAATAATAATAATAATAATAATAATAATAATAATAATAATAATAATAATAATAATAATAATAATAATAATAATAATAATACAGTTTCTTGACCGCGTTATTCGTCAGGTGTAAACCATTCTGACAACAGGTTACATTTGTACAGAGACTAAGATGTTGAAGATTTTGGTATTATAATAATATGGGCTTCCAAAAAAAAAAAAAAAACGGAACAGAATCGCGTCCGTTACGTAGTCTGCTTACGGGTGCGCACGTTTAGTCAGTTATTCAGAAGACGGCCATCAGTGCGGGATGGGAAGGCAGGTTTCTTTCTTTGAAATAACTGTGTATCCATAATTCTTTGTACCTGGATACCTGGAGGTTTCATCTCCTACTCAGAGGTTGACGTGTAATGACCCTCCATCTTTCACGGTCGCGAGCTGCCGTTGTATATTCTGCCATATCTCGGCCAGTCACTTCTTCCTATGTTGTCCATCCATGTTATTCTTTGCCTTTATCTGGCTCTCCTGCCCCACATCTTTCCCTCAAGCATCTCTTTCAGAACGGTCTCGTGTCGTTTTAAGTGACCATAGCGTTGTTGTTTTTTCTACATTTTATTTTGTTCAGCAGGGTTTGTCTTGTGTGCAAAATCTGACACACCTCTCTGTTTGTTCTTTTTATTTATTCTTTAATTCAGGTGTTTTATCTTGCACCTTTTAAAGCATATTCTCCTACCTAAGCCACTCTGTGGAGCCGTTTTAAAGTGAGAATATTTCTTGGAGATGGCTAAAGAAGAGTCTCCTCTCTCGGTAGCCA